ACTGGGGAGCGCGAAACATGCTGGCGTAAACGCGGCCGGCGTGCGGGTGGTGAGCGGGATCATTGTGGTATCAAGAGTGTCCCAAAAGAGTGCTTCAGGAGCAGCCCCTATGCAGGTGGACAGCGTCCTCAACGGAGAGGAGCGCCCGATGAGCGACTTCTCGGAGGCCGAACTTCGCCAGTTGGCGGGAGAATCCATGGAGAGCGTCTACCAGGAACGCCCGGAGGCCCAATACGGCGACCTGTGGAGATCCGTGCCGGGGATCGGAGTGGCGGCCTTGGCTGAACCGCGTTCGTGGGCGTGGTGGAACGTGGGGGTGTTTTTGAGCGGGTGCGGTGGGGTGTACCCCCCAATTGGAGCAGTGAAGTCTGATGGAAGCGCTGGGGCTGGGGGGGTTCTCCACCATAGGAGTGGGAATCAAGTCAGCGTTATGTCATATGGCGGACCTCTTCAGCGTTGTGCTGACACAGCGAGAAATGCACCAAGGTTGGCGCTCCTGAGCCACAACGTTGCGCTGCCGTTTCATCTGCACATCAACGTCTACACCCCCTCACCTCTGTACACACACAGACATAGATACACACATAAACACACACACAAAGACCCACACACTTACTCAACACACAAGACTTAACACTTCACACTTAACACACAACTCACATTCTAACTTCACACGTGGTGAAAAATGCTTTCGGGCCACTCGTCGTCTAGTTTCAGTTCCTCGTCCACGCCCTTGGTGTTTGTTCGTCCTCGTCCACGCCTTGGAGACGACCAACGAGCTCACGGACCTGGATGGCGGAAGAAAGGAGCCGGAGGCGTCCGCGAGGCGTGGTCGGACACGAGACCTGCTGAGGTGCTCTCGTCTTACTTACCATGGAGCGCACCACAAGAACACGTGACACGTGTTGGGTAAGGGATCAATAAAAAAATAAAAAGGTAATCAAAAAAAAAATATTCTAGCCCACTGAGGATGGTTGGGGTAGTAGAGGAGAGTGTACCTCCCCAGGAGCTCCCTCCTAGTAGGGAGCTATTTCCACTGGTGAACCATTTTTTCGAGTAGGGCTACTCAATGACTGGACGGCAACCTTATCGTTGGGTACCTACTTTCTTCCCAGGGAGCTGCCTCTAGTAGAAAGCAATCAAGCCTCTATTTGCGCAAGCAGGGGACCAGGAGATCGACAGACGAGCGCCGTAGGAGAGCACAAAAGACCAGCGGACCAGGAGACAGAAGGACTAGGATACCAGGGGACCAGCGGACCACAGGACCAGAGGACCAGGAGACCGGAGGACTAAAGGACCAAGGGACCAGGGGACCAAAGGACCAGTGGACCAAGGGACCAAAGGACCAAGGGACCACATTACCAGAGGACCCGCAGACCACAAGGCCAGGAGAGCAGCAGAAGAGGCCTATCAAGGAATTTTTTTGTTGATTCGCGTTTTTTTGATCCTGTTTTTACTTTTTGTTGATGCTCTTTTTATTTTTTTTGATACCTATGCCACACGTGTTTGTCTAGGAAACGTGCTAGGAAAAAAGAAGAGGGCGTTTGGCTCATCTCAGCTCGAAAGGAAAACATCGCGTGAGTCCACCGGGGCAATATGTGACTAAGAGCCCTCCATTGACGACTTAGAATAGAAGTGTGAAAGGCATAAGGATTAAGCTTCCACCAAACGATGACAAGGAGGAACTAAGAGCGCGTGGCACATAGTAGTATTCAATCCCCGGTGGTCTTGGTGTGGCAGTACTCCATGCAAGAATCTGCAGCCTCCGCCTGTTGAAACGGCAGCATGAGCCAGATCCGGAAGCTCTTCTCTTTCTTCACGGATAAGCAACATATTTTAGCTTTTTCAACCGCGTAGACTTCTTGATGTCATCCAAATTGCTTGACATGATCTCACCAATACGCACCGAGAGGGCTCGCTGGAAGGAGTTTGCATATTCATTAGCAGTGGCTCAGTGGCTGGAAGGAGTTTGGCAGCTTGAGCATCTCTCACACCCCCGCTTCGCTCGGGGGAAGTTGGTCCCAAGTGAACTGTAGGAGTAAGAGAGGTGGGGGTTCTCAAACGACAGCATCGTTCCATGTCATGTATGAGAAGATCGCCATGGTAGCAGCAATAAAAGGCAGATTCCACGAAAAAGAGTCATGGTGCACAAGAACATGATGCTCCCAGGAGGACGTTACATTGCTGCAACGCTCAGAGTCTTGCCTTCACTCTCCTTTACCAGCCTGACAGGCTGAACAAGGGCTGATTCCGCCGCTATTGCATGACATGTTTCCGCCTGAACAGATTGCTGTAGCCAAACACCCTTAAGATCCCTCAAGTCTTGATCTTCAGCACAAGGATGTGAGCTCTGCACTCACCAGCCATCGAGCCATCCGGGTGAGTCCTTTGGATCCCTAGGCACCCTGACTGCAAGACCCGGGGCGAGGGTGTGTCATCCTCCTCCAAGTTGGGAAAGAGGCTCCTGGAAGATCCGACCGAGGCCATGCGAGTAGCGATCGGACGCTACGAACAGGGCGCTCCTGGCATTACTACTAGCAAGAAGCTACTAGGAACAAGAAGCTACTAGGGGCTCCTGGCATCGCTACTAGGAGCAAGGACGCTACTAGGGGCTCCTGGCATTACTACTAGTAGCAAGAAGCTACTAGGTTGGAGGCCAGTAACAAGGGGCGCCGCCGTGGTTTCAGTGAGGCGACACAAGTCGACTGTGGCGGTGGACTGGTCAGTTCGCAAACAATGGTGGATTGGTCGGGTGAAGATGGTGGTTTTGGACCCATAATAGCAATGGCCTCCAACCCAAGAGCGATAGCCTCCTAGGTGATTTTGACCCTCACCCCACATGGGAGGAAGGGCCTCCACCACTTGCCCTGGGAGGGAAGTTTGTTCTGTGAAGAATCATGTGATTGGTGCTGTTGCTGCAACACGCAAAAAGGAATAGGTGAAGAGTTGGGTAAAGGAACTGCATGTGTATTCTACTTAGTTTTGGTGCAAAGAAGATGTTCTAATCTTGCAAATGTCATGTCCTTCGCCAAGTTCCTCCAACTTGACCCTGAACACCTCGCCGTTCCTCCCCTTTCCGCATGTGCTTCTGAGGGTCCGGACTTAAGTTGCAAACCGGCCACCGGCTTAGCCTTCACCGAGTAATACCTGCACCCAGCAGGCTCAGGAGCTGGCCATTCGGTGAGCTGCTCCTTTTCTCGGCGCGGAGTACCATTTTTGTCTGGCAGTTTTCTGGCTTGCACACCGGAAACTGAACGAAAGGCTGTAAGACTAAGGATCATCGGCATTTCGTGTTCTCGGCAGTTTGTGCACAAGTTCAACAATCATCTAGTAACAAGAAGCTACTAGTTACTAGTAGCTCCTGGCATCGCTACTAGGAACAAGGGCATTACTACTAGGAACAAGAAGCTACGAACGTGCGCATTTACCCCCACTTCTTCAACTTCTTGAATCACCCGAAGTGATGCCTTTTTCACTAAAACACTCGGTGGCGTCAGGAAACACCGTCCGACGTGTCGTCGTGTCGGTTGGACAAGTCTTTCGGCATACTCCCGTCGGAGCCAGTGCAGTGCAGTGTGGTGGCGCATCCTTTGGTGAAGTGTTTCGTCACTGGAACAGGCTGGCCCTCCAAACAAAAAGGAGCTTTAGTTGAAGTGACCCCCCTGACTGATTGTTCTTTTTGGGTGGAATCTCCTTGGGTTTCAGTTGGTCAGCTCTGAAGCCAGGTCATCTGTACTTGATCAAGTCAGGAGAAAATCATGAAGACGAGAGACCGGTGTTTCGAGTGTTTCATGTGCGTTTCGTTCCAGCCACCAGCCCCTCGCCCTTGCACGGTGCAAACGGATAAAAAACCTGCATCAGTGCAAACGGGTACGAATCCCTCTGGGTGGAAATACATATGGTGGTGGACATCCGATGTCGATTTCCGCGCCCCGAGCGAGTTCGTAAATGGAATTCTTCAGGATAAGGAATCGGATTTGATTTGAGAGTCATGCCATAACTATGTTGGGGCTCCAGGTTTGGACTCATCCCCTGGGTTCCAGGAATATGCGCCAGCGCACGTCGCTCGCTTCTTGCCACTGACCTCAGCATTTCCGGCTCTTGAAGTGGATTCTCTCCTGATGCCATGCCCACAAGTCCTAATGATTGGGGATTGTCAAGAATGTGTTTGTTTTGCCAATGAAAATATGTCTTGCTTGGTGAGTAGTAATCCTTCATCATGCGTAGCGATGCCCTCACGATGTCTCTCTCAAATGATCAGCGATCTTGAATCATCTTGATCGTCCCTCACTGATGTCGGGACAGATGACTCAAAAAGTCTCCAAGCGGCATTCACCTATAGTCGTGTTGTGTCAATCATCCTGCTGGAACACTGAGCAACTGCTGGAACATCTTGCAACAAATCTCAAACACCCCCGTAATACACTGACACTAACCAATGGATGCCCATATTGAAATCTTCCTACCAATCCTGTTTCTCTCAGGTCCAGTGAAGACATCTTTCAAGGTCTCCATCTTCAAGGTGGACATTTCATAGAGCCAGAAAAGAAAACGACGATAGCTTCTTAGTTGCTATAGTAGTAAGGCCAGGAGCGCTACTACTAGCGTCCTTGCTCCGTTCGTAGCGGATGGTTCAACAATGTCTCATTTCATCCTCTCCTCGCCTGCTGACCCTCTGGGCATCCCGCCGATGTGTTGCTGGCGGCAAAGCTCCCTTCATCGCCTCGTGAGCAGGGCTGGTGCGGAGCTTAAGGCCGGGAAGTGGATTCTGGATGGTCAAGTGGGACCTCAGACCGAAGGCATTTTGAGTCCTTCACAACTTCGAAGACCTCACAAATTGAAGGATTCGGAGGATTCACTGGATGAACATCCTATAGCGACTTCCTTGTTTAAAGGGTCTTCGAGCGGCGTTCATCACAAAACTGTGCCTTTGGCCTGGATCCCATGGTCATCTCGCTTGCTGCAGTAGGCCTTCCATCTATGAAGTACAGCACTCTGTTCCCAATCTTTGGGTTTCCCGTAACCCAAACAGCACCGAGCACGTTCTTTGGGCGATCCTGGTCTTTCTGCCAGTTTCAAAGAATCCTGGTCTAGAAAACCATCCACCTTGCAATCTCAATCACCGACCCAAACTCTTTCTACAACCAGCCCAACCTTCCACCCCGATCCCGCCAGGTCGCCCGATCCCGATCCCGCCGGATCCCGCGGCGCGCGCCTGCGGGAAGCCCCGAGGTCAACAGCTGGATGAGCTCGTTCCTCCGCATCAACGACCTTGCTGGGCGTCGAAATGCAAGCCACGCCAGCCGGATGGAAACGCCGGGAGCAGGTGGCGAAGAACACAGACGGAGCCGGTGGAGATGTCATCGCCACGAAGGAAGGACGTGTCCTTCAGGATCGTACGTGGTTGCTGAGGAGGTTGATTTGCGACATAAGTCATGAACTTCAGCTGCCAGAAGTCCACTGGTTCGATATTATGGAATCACAATCAGTAGAGAAACAATATGTAGACGAAGCATGTCCATGTTGGTTCCTTTTGACAGCGCAAACAAATAATTTGCTTTACTTCACTTGAATAGAAGGAAACTGTTAAAATGCTTTACAATGCCTTGCAAAATCCCCATCCGGTTTTCAAAACACGGTCTTAAACGCAGGACAAAGTCAAAACTTTCGCACCATCAACACGCCGAACGGCACTTCACGGCACTTCACCGAACACCATCGCCGTCTTCTGCGCTTCCCCACAAGGACATGGCGACCTGCAGCGGCTTCTGCCCCTTGCGATTGCGCACGTCGATGTCCGCCGCATGGCGGATCAGCATCTGACAGGCCTCCACCTGTGAACGCGCGCGCGAGCCTCCAAGCGGGTGGAATTGGATCAAAGACTCAAAGAGACGTGTCTATGGTGTGGGCTAAGACAGATCACGAGTGATGGTGGTTTTCTTGAAGTTGCGAATGAAGAACTTGTCCAAATGGTCGTCAATGAACGCTACAGGGATGTGAGTTGTTGGACGCGGAAACATCAAACAAAGCATTTGTACAAAGCCGAAGGATGCTTTGATTGGAAACCAAAGGATGTCCTACGAAACAGCTCATCATCGGATGTGAATGGAACTTTGGATTCTGATCCACAAGTCCGATGAAGGTCGTCTTGATCCACAGCCACCACAGCAAATTCAGTAAATCGCCTTTAAAAAAGGTATCATTCAATGTGCTGGCAATAAGTGGGTCATGCCTGGTCAGTTTTTGGTCTGTGAGACTCTTCGAAACTGAAGACGGAAGCTCTGATTCGAGCGGCCTCTGTGGCCAACTTGCGGCTGTCAAGAAACACAAACGTGCCCATCCCCCCTTCTAAAAGAAAAATCCAAAGAGAACCATTAGATGACAATAGATGTTGCAAACACACTCAGGAAGTGGTAATTACTGTCACCCCCCTCTGCTTTGTCTCAACATCTACTTCTCAACCGGGACGACGTCACACTCCCAACCTTGCGCGAGCTGGCCGCGAAGTGCAGCGCCCTCAGAGGTGTCCGTGGAGGAAGGGGAAGACATGAGGGAGATAGTACTGTAAGTGTTGCTTTTCCACTCCTACTTATAACAAAGTAAGGGAGTAAGCTCCTAGCTACTATATAGTTATAGCTTCTAGTATCTTGACGCAGGATAGCTCACGCTTCTTCCTCTCCCCGCCTGAAGGGGGGGGAGCTTGCTTGAAGAAGCGCTCGCGCGAATGATTTGGTTCCTAGATTTTGGGGGGGAAACTTAACATTAACAAGTGCATCGCTACTAGTAACAGGTGCCTTACTAGTAGTAACAA